TATATATATATATAATGATAATCTAAAAAATAAAACACAGACTCCAGAGAGGCCTGGATACTCTCCCATGATCTGTTAACCCATCTAACAGTCCTGGGTTGTCATTGATCACACTCACATTCCAGGATCCACCTACGTAGCAGCTCACATTGGGATCTGCTGATAAGATGTCATGGCCCCAGGTTCTTAACGCTGACCAGTGATAGCCTGATCCTTTCTTATACTGACTTGTTCCCTCTTCAGATTGACCTTGTGGAGGGTGGGAAGGAAGACACAGGCTTGGGGGCTGAAGAGACTTGTCAAAGTCAGGTCTCAAGGTCAGTCTCCTGACTTTACCTTCCATGGCAGGGAGCCCCACTGGGTGCTCAGCTTCCAAAGCCCTGTCCTGTGGGGTAGAGAAGGCAATGTGGAAACCAAAGTGGAAAATCAATCACAGAGTCTGAGGCTAGGGTGGGATCTGACTGGCAGGATGAGAGGTAGGAGCCAAAGGGAGGAGAGGCTGGGGACATTCTGGATATGCAGGTTCCCAGCTATGTGCTGGCTCCCTTCTCTAAGAGGAAAGCTTCCAGCTGTCTTTTCCACACTGTCTTGTTTGAACTGGGATTCTGGCTTTGAAGGCTTAAGTGGATTACTGTAAATTAGCAATGTCTTTGGTGTACAGAACGCACGCACACTCTCAGACTTCTGATGGCTCCTGGTGGCTGTGGACTGAAGGGAGGGACCAAGTGGGGACTGAAGGAGCAGGATTTCTAGGACTATTGTCATGTTGGGGCCCCTGTGACATCGCTTAGTGGAACATTTCCTGTCAACGGGCTTTGCTGGGAGCTACTGGCCCAGCCAATTCAGAAGGATCCTTGTTCCCTTCCCTTCTCTGCCAGGCTGGCCTGTACTGGGGCACACTGGGCTGGGAGAAGTGGGAGGTGCATTCTGAGTCCCTGGGCTTCCAGAGACCATTTTTTATCATCAGGTGTGACCCGAATGTACCTGACTGCTCACCCTACCCTCTTATAGAGTGAGGGACTCTGCCACACCGTCTGTATCCTGATAGCTTTCCCATTGCTTCACCAAATTATCAGATATATGAACATGCATTCATATGCATGCATGTGTATGTTTTCCTGAGAACTGGGACCAGGGCATTACCACATTTTATGGGCCTTGCTTGGTGCCAGTCACAGAGCAGGAACAGTGGGGCCTCTGGAGTGAACACATGTTTTCTTTGGGTACTCAATTATTTCATATCATTCTTCAAAGTTCACAGTCTCTGTTTACCCAGCCCAGCTGAGCCAGCACCAGCACTGGTTCCCTGGTCTCCCTGCATCTGTAGTATGCTAAGTGCATAGTAGGTCTCAGTGCACTGTGGAAGACTAGGGAAGTTGTCCTAATCCAGCGCAGCACTGCTCCCCACTTCTGGGATCCCTCAGACCTTTGCTGAATGTCTGAGTGATCCACAAGCCTCCCACCTTGCAACTGTGAGTGGCTTTCTTCCTCAGATACCTGACAGATCTGTGAATAACCTAGCACCTGCAAGCATCTGCCCATTGCAGAAGCTGACTAGCGGCTTTCTGTTTTGCAAGGTTCAATTTCCTCCCATGGGTTCCTTTTAAGGGGGCCCACCTGGGTTTCTCTTTGGCCTGTGTGTTATTCTGTTTGCCACAGCATGCCCTTTCTAGGCAACAGGGGGAAGCCAGCCTGGAGTTAACACTGGCAGTGGTTAATCCACAAAGTGGGTAATTGAATTGACTATAATTAAAATCACAGGCGCATCATGGAGAATGTCATTTTTCTCTTAAAGTTGCCGTCCAAAGCTTTCACTGCACATGGAGCTTAGAACGTGCTTGGTGTTTTAAAGACAACCTTCCCTCTGGTCCCCTTTGCCTGTTTAATAAGAGGAGGCTGGCTCTCTTCCCAAAGTTCCCCCAGGATGGAGGCACTGCGCCCAGCCATGTCCCCCTTCCTCTTATCCATATGGGATCCTCAGGGCTGGGGGAGAGGGACACAAACTGGAAGGGACCCCCACCTCCACCTCCTCACTGTCATCCTAGCCCAGCCTCTTCCCTGAGAGGAGAGCGGTCCTGAATGAAGACTGAGCTCGGAACTGTCCCCAGCAGAGTATTTGCAACTGATCAGTCTGGCTACCTCCTTACACATTCTGCTGCCCTCATCTGGAATACCTCTAGCCAGAAGGAAGAGGAATTAAAGTACAACCTGTTTGTTACTATTAGGGAGTACTTGGTCTGATGGGGCCCCCTACACTGGGCAGATTGATGGTAAAATACAAGGTGAATGGAGCAGAGAGGGAGGAGACAATGTGAAGAGGGTCTGACCTGGAAAGTCTTCCTGGAAGAGGTAAGCCCTTGGTTTAGTCTCTAAGGTAATCCTCCCATTAGGATTTCCAAGTGGTCCTAGGGTCAGCTGAAACCCAGCCCTCTGGATGTCAGATTCCACTCCTGATACCTACATTTCCCAGATGCCATCTAGGCTATGTCACACAATGCTTGCCAACCCATAGCCACCACTGGGGCCCATGGAGTTGCTTCATTTTGCTGCAGAATTTCTTCCTTTTTTTAAGCATGCATATGATAGTTTTCTGAAAAATATCCAATTCGTAAAACCTCCAGTTCTCTGGGGAGTGATTAAGTGTTTGCCTGTCGTGCCGAAATGAAGGGCTGCTTTTACTCTGTAGTGGAGGGATAATGAGCAATGATTTATTTCCCTTGGATCTCTCTCTCTCTCTCTCTCTCTCTCTCTCTCTCTCTCTCTCTCGCCTTGTGTGAGTCAGTTCCTAATGCACACTGGGGAGCGCATTGGGCTTCCAGTTTCCCCTTCATCTTGACCCCATCTCCACCCACATCTCTATCCTTACTAGTGTCAATTTCCTCCCATCCTGAGAGCAGTTCAGGAACTGGGGGCCAACTTGCGAGAAGCAAGTCTCCAGCAGGAGAGAGCAAGGAAAAGTCAGTGGGCTTTCATCGGACCACGAGGACTGCTCTTTGCCTACTCAGTGCCCCCGAAAGGCTTTGGCTTTGACTGGGAAGGGCCTCCTCCAAGACAGGGGTAGACATTGTCTACCAGCCTCTGCCCCTGCCATCTCCGTGGTATCTAGTTTGAAAACCTGATTCTCCTCACACAAGAAGGAGTTGAGGATTATTCATTCACCTATTCAAACAGTGCTTGAGGCAGGTCTGAGCCTGGAGGTCCTAGAAGCAAGGTCTTTGCTGGCATCCAGGCAAACCACCAGAATGAACATACACTGTGATAGAACTATGTCCAAAAGTAAAAGGCTATACAATCTTGTAATACTGATGGATGGATTGAGAGAAGACCTTTTGAAGGAAGTGGGTAGGGGAAGAATGGTGGAACTATGCCAGTAAAGGGACCCCAGGGGTACAAAGGTTTGTGTGCTCTATGGAGTAGATTGGGGGAGTATAAAATGCTTTAGTTTAATGTGGTAGGGGTAAAGAATTTCAGCTGGTCACCAAATAACTAAATAATGCATGTCAAGGAATTAGCTTGGGAGGGAGGTCAGGGGGCCAGAGCCCAAACATCATAGAAGTTGAGACCTGTCTGGGGGAACAGGGAAGGGTCTAAACCAAGAGTGGCATAGTTACACATGAATTATGGATAGATCACTCAGTTGCCTTGTGGGAATTGCACTGGAAGGGCAAGAAGGGAGGCAGGTGGGGTAGGAGGCTCTTGGCACCAGTCTAGGTAAGAAAGGGGTGACTTGGAGGAATGGAGTCTGGAGACCAAGGAAAGAACAAACAGGAACTCAAGGGTGATTACAGGTTTTCCTTTGTGCAGGGCAGAGTCCTCTCCCAGAGACAAAAATGGTGACAAAACTCTAGCGGTCGAGGTCACAAGGTTGGCTACTCACAGAGGTGGGCAGGTGGAATCTAGGTGTCCTTAGGGCTTCAACCCCACTCCCTTCCTCTTTCACATCTCTTCTCCCCTGGTCTGATGCTGGTGCAGCTGGGAACGTGGTCCAACAGTAACAGAAGGGTTACCTCTCTCTCCACCAGATCTGAAGCCGTGGGTCTCTAACTTCACCTACCCTGGAGTCCGGGATTTCTCCCAGCTTGCTCTTGATCCCTCCAGGAATCAGCTCATCGTGGGAGCTAGGTAATGGGGTGCAGGAGAGTCGGGGCTGAGACTGGGTGCACGTGGAATTGGGTGAGGGAATAGTATCTGGATGAGTGTACTGTGGGCACCTCTGTGTCCTGAGCCCTTGTCCTTTTGTGCCAGGCCCTTTCTGTATGAATGCCTAGAGCTAGAGGCAAGGAAGGATGACCCCTAGACCTCCCAATCTCACCCAGCTGCATTCTTCAGAGGTTGGTAGTGTAGTGAGCTCCAGGATGCCTGCTTTCCATCTTCTGCCCTGTCTCTGTGGTAATACCAGGATCTCCCCAGTTGGAAGTGCCCAGGAGCCCCCTGCTGGCTAACTGGTGAGCTGCTTCTAGGAAGGGCCTCATTTTCCTGTGGCCTGCCCACCTTTGCCCCACTGTCCAGATCCCCATTGAGCAGTTAAACCTCTTTGAGGACACCTCATGTTCCAGGCTTTCTGGGTGGAGTAGGAGGAGCTAACCACCACAAAATCATCAGTTGCCAGCTTTGAAAGCAAGCAGCTTGGAAATGAGCTAGGGTCTCTGGGCCAGCATCTTCCAAAGCTTCAAGAAACTTTTTGGAAATGCAAATACTGGAGGTGACCCCAGCTTCCCTGATCAGAAACTTTAGGAGTGGGCCCCAGGCTTGCTTCAACAAACCTTCCTGTGACTAGTGCGGGTTTGAGCTTGAGCATGACTGGCCTGATCCAACACATTTTAAACATGAAGCCCTGGGAGGAAAGAGGTCCTTCCTGGACTACACAGCGAGATATCACAAGCCTTGGACTAGAACCCAGGTCTCCTAACCAGAGCTAGTGAATCTGTGTTAGGGCTGGTGAGCACCGGAGGTTCTGGCTTGGCTTGTGTACGTGGGGAGGAGTGGCCAGGCATGGCCACTGAACCTTCCAGGCTCTATGTAGCTGGCCATATCTCCCTACCTTTTGGCCTCCCTTTGAGTCTCCGCGCCTTCATCTGTGGCATGAAAAGAGAGCAGCTCAGTGGCTTTTTGTTTTGGGTGAACTTGACCTTTGAAAGTCTCAGCTTCTTTTTCTGTAAAGTATCAGTTATAGTTTCTATGTGGCCAGCCTCACCAGGCTGTGCTGGAGCTGGAAGTATTTAATTTTTATTAATTAGGTCATTATTTTAGAGCAGTATAACTTACAAATGTTGCAAAAGAGTACCCAGGGAGAACTAAGACCATCCTCACGAAAATGGGCCCTCTCTAGGTCCTCCCTACATCTTCCTAGAAGTGATTTGTATACATGCAGGCCTACCAGAGTATGGGCTTCCTCCTGCATCCTCTGTAAAGAAAGTGTTATTGGGGCTGGAGAGATGGCTCAGTGGTTAAGAGCACATACTGTTCTTTCAGAGGACACACATCAGGCAGTTCACGACCTCCTATATCTCCAGCTCCAGGGGATCCAACACCCTCTTCTGCACTCCGAGGACACTGGCATATATATGTGCATACTAGCATACAGACACACATCCATACACATAAATAAAATTTTAAAAAAATTTAAAAGAGCAATTGTTTTACGTTCTATTTCGGGAGGGTTGTCCATTCACATGCAATTTCAAAAAATAATAGAGAGAGCTCATGTACCCTTCACCTGGGTCCCCCCAGTGGTAGCCTCTTGCATAACTGTATCACAAAATTAAAATCTGGGAATTGGTATTCATGCCATCCTTTCTCCTGGCTAAGATTTTACCAGCCAGCACTTTGAGCCCGACTTGGTGACTCACATCTGTAATCCTAGCAACTAGGAAGGCTGAAGTAGAAGGATCACCCTGAGTTCAAGGCAAGCCTGGGCTCCATAGTGAGACCTTGTCTCCAAAACTCAAAACCCAAACAAACAGGGCCAGGGAGGAGGCTCAGCAAGTGAAGGCACCTGCTGCCGAGAATAATAACCAGAGTTCAATCCCCTGGTGACTACGCTGTGGAAGGAGAGAACTGACTCTTGCAAGTTGTCCTCTGACCTCCCACTCATGCCATGGCATTCATGTGTCCCCACATATACATACACACACATTGACATACACACCAAAGAATTAAAAATGTAACAAATAATCTAGAAAGATTTGTAAAAAAAATCTAGATACATAAGTACTTTTCTAAGCCCAAAGAGTGTTATCTCTGAACTATGCTCTGAACCTGGTAAAAGCATTTTGGAAAATGGCTCATTCTATGATTGACACATGCACTATTTTACGGAGCATCTGTGTATTAAATCAGCTAATACATGTAGTAAATCATACCACATATAATCCAGTATAGTAGTAAATCATGCATGCAGAAAATAATCTAGTTTTCACTGTCACCCCAGGAGGTGAGTTCTAGGATCACCCCCATTTTATAGACAGCTCAGCGAGGTTGCCACTTGCCTATGATCACACCATCCTGCCTGATCCACTTTGAGCTTCTCGATGTGAACCTGAACAGTGGTTGTTTTCCATCTGCTGGTTTTCCTTGAATAGCTAAGGGCATATAGCTTCTGAGTCTTTGAGCCTAGCTCTGCCCTCAGATGGAGAGGAGCACAATCTATCCTGAACTGGTCCCTTCTGCCCCTAAAGCCACTGCCTTGAACCCTGGGCTGTTTTATTCCCCTCCTTCTTTTTCAGGGCACTTTTATGACCTCTGGAATTCAGGCTGGGGAGCTTTTTCTATTCATTTGTAGCCTGCCTTGTTCCCTGTGGGATTGAGGGCTGGGCCAGCTGCAGAGATTGTTCTCATCTCCCAGCACTTAGAAGAGCCAACGGAGATGCTATGATGAATGATTTTTGATGGGATAAAAATGATTTGAGTGATGGGATGTTTCCCCTAATTTGTTAAAGCTGTGAGCAGATGCCTATTGTTACCTGAGCACACAGCTGTGGTAGAGCCACAAGCTGGAATCCATCTGTCCCTGGGCCAGGAGTGTGTGGCCAAGAATCTCTGCAAAGGACAGGGAGAGGAAGTTGGGGTGGGGCAGTGGAGTCCTGGATCCAAGGTAATGGGTGAGGCCACCTTGCCCCAGGCCAGTGAAAAAGCTGAGTGGGGCCTGGGCAGGTAGCCAGAGCAGAGAGGGAGTCTCCGGGCAGCCAGTTCCCACCCCTAGCTTCCTGCAGCAAGACCCCTTCTTCCTTTCTGACCTTTCCACCACTCTCTCTTATGCACAGCTGAAGTGGCCAGAACTTCCTAGAGTAATTATTCCTAAAAAGTAGAACCCAAAGAGGAATAGCCAAAAGCAGAGGGAAAGAAAGAAGATTCTTTGGGAAAACCAAATCACATCTGCTTGTCTTTAATAAAGCCTCTTACTGTGTCTCTATGAGACTGTGATGAAGAAAGCCAGGCACAAACTGATTCTCCATTTTACAGATATGGGTGCTGAGACTCAGCAAGGGGCTGAGCTGGAAATCTGCCTATCTCTGCTGCAGGGTCTATTCTCCAAACTTGAATTCACTGTTCTGATGCACTCTAACCCAGTGGGTCTACCACGCTTAGAACTCCCAAGTTCCAGGTCCCTGAGTGGTTGCCTACTCACTGCAGAGCTTAGTCACAATGATTTCAGTGGCACCTAATACTGAGTTTTCAGTGAGTGTCTGATGGTATTACTGTGGTATCATCATCATTATCATTAAGGCTTGTGAGCCATCAGCAGCTGTGTGGAAATGGTGTTTGAGGAAGTTGAGGCTAGCCATGCTATGTAGGTAGGGAGACAAGTGGTCCAGAAAGGGGCCATGGAGAGGGCAAATGCAGAGTCATTGGCTATAGGACATGAGGCAGCAAACAGGGCCCTGAGGCCTGTGTGGGAAGCCCATGTGTATCCCTGCAAGAGCTCCTGGGCTTTCAGTTGAACAGAAACAGGCTCCATTGTTGGGAAAGATAAAATCACAAGACAAATTACAAGTGTTTAGTTTGTAGATATTAACTGGATTTAAGATTCTAGAATTTGGTAGACTGAGCCAAAGAGCTTGGCTTTTTCATTTTAATATTAAATTAAATTATCATTTAATTAATAAATTAAATTTGAATTAATTCAAATTTTAAAATAAATTAATTTTGGTCTCTTTCATACAGGATCTCCCTATAGCCTCAGCTGGCCTGGAAGTCACATGTAGACCAGGCTGGTCTTAAACTCACAGAGATCTGTCTGGCATGTGCCACCATGCCTGGCTAAGAGTTTGGTTTTATGTGATGAGAAGGGGGAAGGGAGGGAAAAATAAAAGAAAAAGAAAAATAGCAGAAACAAAGAGCAAAAAGCAGATTGGTCGTTTCAAAGTTACTTTCCTTGTAAAGTGGAAGCAGAAAGACAGAAAATGGAAAAATAACTGTGGCTAACCCAGGAGACTTTGTTTTACTTTCCTTGTGTGTAAGAATGAAGGCATAGAGAACTCCACTATCATGACAGTTGACACTGGCCTGCCTGTCTGGGAATGTGGCTGTTTTCTCTCTCCTGATTTCTCTGACAGTCAGTTTCACTTTGATGACAAAGAACTTGCACAATAGGTGGCTCCATTTTGATTTTTTAAGGTGATCTGTTGGTGTCCAATATGGGACTTAGTCCAAAACCATGGCCTTTTGTTGATTTTATTTAACAGTGGATTTCAGAGGTTCTTTCCTGTGCTGGCTGGTCAGCCAGGAGCAGATACAGTGTACAATCTGTGGGTTAAGCCCAACTCTTTGATTTAACTATCTCTGTAGCTTTATTGACACAACCTGCTTCCTCATTTGTAAACTGGAGTTTCCTACAGCTACTGCCAAGTTGTGTGAAGGTTCGGTTAGCTAAGTAAGAGGCATAAAGCTCTCTCTTGGGGTTGGCCCACCCTAGTCCTATAGAGGAAGTATTCCTGGCACCCTATAAGGTCTGGTCTAGGAGGCTGTCTCCTGGGGTCCTACCTGTAGAGCCAGATGGCTTATGATTTCTGTTTGTTTTCACAGGAACTACCTCTTCAGACTCAGCCTTGCCAATGTCTCCCTCCTTCAGGTACATTTGTTTTTCTTCCCTTCCTATAATTTCTTGTATTTGGAAACTGAGGGCTGGGTAGTCCATATAGCAAGATTCTTAATTCAGTGCCTAAGATTGACAGCAGAAGCCACCTGTTCTTTGTCCTGGCCATGGACTCTGACCCTGCTATCAAGGTCACTGCTGGGAGGATACCTGGAGTGGAGCTCAGCCAACATGCACATGAAGGCCCGTACAGGGCTTTTGCATTATGCTAAGAAGCTTCCCACAAGAACCCGACTGAGATGACCTTCTGCCCCTATTTGCTGGAACTAAGGGCTTTGCCAGGTGCAGAACTTTCAGGGCTAAAAATGGAACTCTACTGGGCAAACTGGGACAGTTAGTCATTCTAAGTCTAGAGCCTAAGTCCACAAGAGAGTTCCAGAGTTTGGGCCTCAGGGAGTGGTATCTCTAGCTCCTTGTTCAGCTTGGCCTGAGAGATCCCACTCTAACTTGGTTTCATTGAGCTGTGATTGATTTATTATCTGCTGCCAAGAAATGTTCCCCAAGCATAATTCCCTAAGGGCTCTGAGAGGCTTTTTAATGGCACTCCTTGATCCAGAACAGTTATCCCACATTGAGAAACAGATGCCAAACCATCTCTGCAGAAGCTGAACATTATAGAAAAAGGATGGCCATTCATCTTCATGAGGGGGGAACCTCCATTTCCATGTCCAGGAGCTGTCTTCATCCCCAGCAATTGAGCATTCTTTGAGCACTTATTGCATACCAGTTCTGAGCTGGTGGGTTGAAGGTATTAGGAAAGCAGACTCTCTGATTCCAGGGAAAGATGATGACAGACACATACAACCTAGTTAGAACTCAGGCATTAATCAAGCACTGGACTGTTTGGCAAGGAACTCCACTGTAGCAGGCAGCTAGAGAACGGGAGACCTCCTTGGTGAGCCAGTGTGGCATTCTCGTGTCTTTCCTTCCAATCTGGTTCACATCCCTAGTGGCCATTGCAGCTCTTGCACACCAGAAGGAAGCAGAAAAGGTATGCCCACTGGAAAGAATAGGTCAGGGAAATTAGGGCAAAATGAAAGGAAATGCCATGCATCCATTTATCCATACCTCTACCAAACCAAGCTGCCCATCTATCCATCCACCCACATGATAAACATTTAGCAAGTACTTTCTAAAGGTCAAGTCTAGGTTTATGCATGTGTTATGGGTTGAATGTGGCATATCCCCCACAGGCTCTTGTGTTTTGACACTTGGTTCCAGCTGTTAGCTCTTTTTTGGGAGGTTATAGAATCTTTGAGAGATGGTGGATATAAGTCCCTGGGGCCAGGCCTTGAAAGTTATAACCTAGCCCTGCTTCCGGTCCCATCTCTGTTTCCTGGTCCATCAAGATGTGAGGAGCCTTAGCCACATGTTCCTGCCTCCATGACCTCTGCCAGGCCTTGCCCATCATAATGGGCTATACCCTTTGGATCATGACTCCAAATAAATCCTTCTTCCCTTAAGTTGCTGCTGCTAAGTACTTGGTCAGTGATGAGGACAGGAACTACTATCACATGGTGCATGGCGTTTGAGTTTAAAAGTGAGGCCCACTCCTTTACTTGGAAAAAATGCACATAAGAAATCGTGCATGGCTCCTTTTCCAATAGGCGGACCATGTGGCATGTTCCTGCAGCCCAGACTTGAACAAGACAGGCAAAGTTCACAGTCAGCATTCCATGGTCACAAGCAGCCAGATCGACTTCTACTTGGTATCCATAGATGATAGAGACAAAGTGCCAAACCTGGCAGGCCAAGGCCTGGGGAAACCATCACAGAGATTCATTTCCTTGATCCAGGTGCCTTCCCCAAGCGCTTGGCAGTTGCTTTTTATTTGATACTTATGGTCTGCAAATGAAGGTCTTTGGCACTGGAGAGTAGCTAAAGTCAGGAAGAGAGGGCTGCAGAGAAATAATGGCAGGGCTGGGAGAAGCATGTGTGGGAGCGTGGCCTGGAGGTAAGAGGAACCCTGGCCCCAGCAGGGTCTGCAAAGGCATTGAGAGGTGTTGTGTTTGAACTGTAGCTCGAAGGTTGTATTTGCCTGACAGCAAAGGGGAGAACAGAGGAGTGAGACAGCACACAGCACTGAGGGACAGGATCAGAGGGTGGGAGAAAGTAAGGGTAGGAGATGAGGTCCCAGAATCAAGAGAGGCTTCATTTCGGGGGATCTTTATTGCTGAGTTGAGGGGTCCACTTTTTATTTTGAAGACCATGGATATCCATTAATGAGTTTTAAGCAGAGAAATGACATGAGTAGACTTGACATTTGGGTCACTTGACCCAGAGCAGGGACTGGAGTAGGGAGCAGCCAGTCAGGACACAATTGCAATTGTCCTGCTGAGTGATGGAGAGGTGTGAAGGGGAGCAGTGGCAGGGGAATGGAGGACAGGAAGGGGCACTTAAGGTGGCAGGGTCACATGGGAGCACAGTATCACACAAATCAACTGGGGGGTTGAAGGTATTAGGAAAGCAGACTCTCTGATTCCAGGGACATGAAGGAGGTAGTCATGCCTGGACATCTAGGTTCCTGGCTCACACAGCTGGGTACCATAAATTAGATGGGAATGGGGCTGACTCTAGACCATTGGTTCCCTTGACTGTTCACTAGATCCACCATGGGAGCTTTGACAAACACTGGTGTCTCAGAGAATCTTAAACAATTACTTTGGAGTACAGCCTGGACACCAGAGTTTTCCAAAGCTCCCAAGTGATTCCAACAGACAGCTAAATTTAGGCTGTTAAGAAGTATTTGTCTGTGGTGCTGCCCTGCTGGCTTGGTCTCCCCAGGCCTCCTGACTAGCTAGTCATGTACCTTAAAAGTCATGGATGTTCAGACTACTTGATGACTGAGGCTCAGGGTTTGGTTCATCCAGTTTGGTGTTGATGTGGTCTTAAGCACAGACAGATATCCATGGCAGACACAGGGCTCATGTTTATGGTGGGGGCTCAATTTCAGTGGGATTGTCTGAAGTACCCTGCAAGCCAACCCCCAAAACACCCAGACTTCACCTTCCCCGGGGTGTCTCCTAGGGGCCTAATCACAGCATTTAGATTAGATTCTCCTAACAGAACTAAAGAGAAAAATTAATACATTTTATGTCCTTGTAAACTACTCTAGGAGGTTTAGTCATAAAGTAGGAAGAACAAGTGAGAGATTGGGGCAGGCCATCCAACAACCCTCAGTGAGACCAGTGGCAGACCTGGGCCTCTGATCAGCTGCCTGGCCTAGAGAGAAAGCCTTGGCTTTGGGCAATAAATACTCACTTCAGCAAGTGCCCTAGCATACCCTTCGTGTGGTCTTCGGCCCCTACCATGCTGAAATGCTATTATAAGCTGCTCATTCAAGGACTGAAAATGAGTTATACCACTGTGCTGGAAGGGGAGGGGGCACTGAGCTGCCCCACAGGCCCCAGGGTATGATTTAAGTCAATTTAAACCTCTATGTTTTATTGGTACTTTAAATAATTGACATCTGCTGAAGAAAAATCTAAATGCAAACAGTTTATGCAAACCAGTGTCCACTAAAGGGACTTCTAAGAACCTAACCCCTATTAATTAATGTAAACTATAGTTCCTTAAGGAGAATCAAAGTCCCCAGCTTCTTCCCAATTCAGGAGGGAAGGAACAAATGGGCTGCGTTCTCTCTCTCTCTCTCTCTCTCTCTCTCTCTCTCTCTCTCTCTCTCTCTCTCTCTCTCTCTCTCTCTCTCTCTGGTGAGGGGCAATGAGCTCGGCTACAGTGGTGATTTTCTGCATAACTCAATCTTTTGGTCTTGGGAATTTTCAAAAAGGAGGTGTGCGATCCACAGTTTTGGGCCTGGGAGGCCAGCATGATGCTATCTTGAATTTGGCAATTAAACACTCAAGAGTGACCTTTGTCACTACAGTTCCCTGGGATGGTGTGGCTGGAGGCCTAATGGCTTCAGATGGCCTGTAAGCACAGAAATGATGACTGACTGCTGCATACTCATGCACCAGGACACTCGTGAGGCTTCGTTGGGACCCGGGCAGACATTTAGGGTGATCCCAGCTCTCTTCCAGCCTACCTCACATCCTCCACACTTGGGTTCAGCAGCTCATAGCTGTTGGTAGCTTAGACCCTGCTAAGTAGTGAGCTCAGTACTCAGAAGATGTTCTGATGCTCAGTCATCATCTCTAATCAGCTCCTGTGTGTCCAAGGGAGTTGCCATGTCCACACAGAGGTGATTCCATCCATGTCCCTGATGTCTTCCTTGCCTGCTCTTTCCTACATCATAGAAATCACATAGCTCTGCTCTTAAATAAGCTCCTCACCCTGGAATTTCTGGAGCAGTCCAAATGTAAAGTGTTCTACATGCTGCATGTGTCTATTTCTACTCCTTCCCGGAAACCCACCAGTGGCACATGGGGAATAACAGGTACGCAGCCACACGATAGAGAGGACGAGGGAGGACCTGTCCATGGAGAAGAAATTCAGTGCTTTTTGGGAGATGGAAAGTGAATGGAGGAATGATCCCAACAACAAAAAAAGAAGAGCTTACAGAGGCGGATGGGGCAGCGAAGCGAGCGGAGTCCCCAGAAAAGCTCAGAAATCGGGGTATTGGGTATTGTGGAATAAGGCCAAGGCTAAAAAGGGCACTGATTAAAATTCTCTAAATGGGGGGCTGGAGAGATGGCTCAACAGTTAAGAACACTGGTTGTTCTTGCAGAAGACCCGAGTTCGAATCCCAGCACCCACATGGCAGCTGACAACTGTCCGTAACTCCAGTTCCAGGGGATCCAACGGCCTCTTCTGTCCTTGCGGGCATTGCACAACACGGGTGCACTTACCTACATTGCAGGCAATACACGCATACACATAAAATAAAAATAATAAAATAAAATTTAATTAAAAATAATTCTCTAAATGGAAAATGGAGAGATGGCTTAATGGTTAAGAGCACTGGCTGCTCTTGTAGAAGACCCATGTTTGGTTCCAGCACCCACATGGCAGCTAACAAC